AAAATGTATTTAATAAATGCCATAAAGGTACAACTATACAATACAGAATGCATTTAAAACTAGATCATTCATTTATACAGTGAGGAAAATAAGTATTTGAACACCCTGCTATTTGCAATTTCTCCCACTAAGGGAGATGGATGAAGGGGTCCACTGTGAGAGACTATAAAAAAAAATTTTTTTTAATCCAGAAATCACAATATTTTTTTTTTTTTATTTCTATAATCCAGCCACATAATTATTTGAACACATGAGAAAACCAATGTAAATATTTAGTAGAGTAGCCTTTTTTCTTTTGCAATTGCATAGTTCAAACATTTCCTGTAGTTTTTTTTTACCAGGTTTGCACACACTGCAGGAGGGATTTTGGCCCACTCCTCCACATAGATCTTTAGATCGGTCAGGTTTTTGGGCTGTCGCTGAGAAACAAAGTTTGATATCCCTCCAAAGATTCTCTATTGGGTTTAGGTCTGGAGACTGGGTAGTCCACGCCAGAACCTTGATATGGTTCTTCCAGAGCCCCTCCTTGGTTATTCTGGCTGTGTGCTTCGGGTCATTGTCATGCTGGAAGATCCAGCCTCGACCCATCTCCAATGCTCTAACTAAGAGAAAGATGTTGTTCCCCAAAATCTCACAATACATGGCCCTGGTCATCCTCTCCTTAATACAGTGCAGTTGCTCTATCCCATGTGCAGAAAATCAACCCCAAAGCATGATGCTACCACCTCATGCTTCACAGTAGGGCTGGTTTTCTTGGGATGGTACCCGTCATTCTTTTTCAAACACAGTTTGTGGAATTATAACCAAAAAGTTCTATTTTGGTCTCATCTGACCACATGATGGTCACTGGTAAACTTAAGACGGGCCTTGTCATGTGCTTGTTTAAGCAGGGGAACCTTCTGTGCCATGCATGATTTCAAACCATGACATTTTAGTGTTACCGTTTCCAGTAATCTTGGAAACGGTGGTCCCAGCTCTTTTCAGGTCATTGACCAGCTCCTCTCGTGTAGTTCTGGGCTTTTTTCTCACTTTTCTTAGGGTCATTGAGACACCATGAGGTGAGATATGGCATGGAGCCCCAGTCCGAGGGAGACTGACAGTGATGTTTAACTTCTTCCATTTCCTAATGATTGCTCCAACAGTGGACCTTTTTTCACCAAGCTGCTTGGCAATTTCCTCCTAGCCCTTACCAGCCTTGTGGAGGTGTACGATTGAGTCTCTAGTGTCTTTGGACAGCTCTTTGGTCTTGGCCATGTAGGTAGTTGGACAGGTGTCTTTATGCAGCTAACAACCTCGAAAAGGTGCATATATTTTAGGATAATAAATGGAGTGAGCTGTTCAAATACTTATTTGCAGCTGTATCATACAAACAAATACATAAAAAAAACATACATTGTGATTTCTGGATTTATTTTTAGATATATGCGCCTACAATGACAGTTACTCTCCCCAGGATATCTCTTTGCAGAAGGCATTTTCACAAATCCAAACATGTCTTCTCTTTTAGTTTAAAACCTGGACAATTAAGCTGAGATTTAATTGGAAGTTATTGTCAAACTATTTTTCAAATATATGTAATACATTTTTTTTAAAATAAAAGATAAATACAATATTTCATTTTGAACATAATAGTAGAATTAAAAATTACAAACATATTAAAAAAAAGAAAACTCAGAATTTAGGATACACATATGTTGTAGAAACTGTAGTCCTGACGTTCCAAAGGAATAAGAGTAAGAAGTAGTAACATAGTTTGAACTCAAGCCCTGCAAACTCAGTATTAAGCTTTTACATGGACCTATATTATTAGGCATCATTAAATAAAACAAAAAACATAAAATAATTACATTTATTACACTCATTCTTGGTCAAAGATATTTCTATACACATTAAAGCATGTATCTAATTGGACACATAAATCTAAGGGTTATTTCACTTCTTATCTTGTTGATTTTGCTATTCAAAAATGTAATCAGGATTAGTCATGTAATAATTTCCATAATGCAGTTTTAAATACTTTCAATAGAATAATGGAGCTCAGTTTTAACATAAGGCAGGCTGACAAGTCATATTTCTATTATAGATAGCACTAAAGCATTCTAACTAGTCTCAATGATAAAATTCCTTGTCTGAATTGTATTTTAGATATCACTAATTATAATTCCACCAGTAGAAATGAACTTTTAAGTAATCTGGAATCAAATTTGTACTAGTAAGAACTAAATTATAGATATCTACAAACCTTTACTCATTTCAAGTGTCTGTTTTAACATTTATTTGCTTGACAGGATATGTATTTCTGATATCTTTTGATAGTATTCTTACCATTTCAAATTAATATTTCACATATCTTATATGTAATACTTTCTAGTAAAAATGACATCGCTTTTCCCCATTAATGTATATTGGGCTGTTCCTCAGATATCTAAAATACCATTACTCCTATGTAGAAATAAACATTCTGAATGTCAAAAAAAGAATTTGATTACTATAATCCAACTGTAACAGGAGCCTCATTATTTTCCTGAAAGTTAGTCAAAGATATGTTTCATTAAAATTTTGATCTCTGAAATCCCATTTAACTTGTAATATATCAGTAGTTAATATCTTTAATGATATTTCTAATATTTGAAATATTTTTGATGTCAAGAATTGGTTTTCTGGATATCTATAATCATTTTTTATATCTGAAATTGACATTATGTTCATCCTCATGAGAATATAGTTTTGGATATCCAGAGTGTTTATTTTAGATGGGAAGAATGTTATTAAAGAGTTCTGAAATGTTCATTTGACCAGGAATAAATGCATTTGAGACATTTGAGATACATATTCAGTCAGGCTAATACATTTCAAAATGGCCAATTAAACTTTGAAAAGATTTCTAGGCATTTGAAACTTTATTCTTACTAGTAGAGTTATGTTTTTATATCCTGTAATTTAGTTTTTGCTGGTAAAAATGCAATTCGGGATATCTTTATTTTTAGTTCTGACCAGCAGTTTTGACGAGGAAGAATTCTATTTTAGTAATCTACAAATGGAGCAACAGAGGGCCGGATCTATCAAAGGTTTGCGTGTATAAAAACGTGAGCTATTTCACTGCGCACGCTAAAAAATGTACAAACTGATCTATCAATAGCGTGCTAAAAGGATTTGGTCTTTAAAACGTACTAAATAGCGCCTCTTATCCATTTAGTACTTTTTCTGCAATGAATATGCAATATGGGGCGTTTACACGCAAAAGTGCGTCTTGTGGGAGGAGAACAGGTAAATATATTAATTTAGCACTCGCAAAGTGATTTATCAAACCTAAAAACAATTTTGCTAACGGTATATTTAACACGTTTCAAAAGAAGGTGCAAATGGTCTGTATGCGTAATTGCGCACACATGGCAGCGGTTATTGTCGCAAGAAGGAGACATCGAAATGAAGCAAGGAGACGCAGAGAACGCATTTTTTCACTCCGTGTGAATATTTTTGGAATGAACGAGGAAACGATCATCAAAACATATCGTTTATCCAGCATTGCCATTTTGGAGCTGTTGGGGGAACTCCGAATGGATTTGGAGCCAGCCACAAGGAGGATCCACGCAATACCAGATATCACAAAACTCCTTGCAACATTGCACTTTTTTGCATCTGGGTCATTCCAGCGTACGGTTGCAGCGAGAGCTGGGATCTCCCAATCTCCAATCTCGTTTTTCAGAAGTGCTGTCCGACGGGGTCGGGGTTCTCCCCCTGCGCCTGTGGAGCAACATGCCAATGCTGCGGGGATGCATACGCGCAGTAATCTCATCCACAGTCACTTCTTGTGAGCCATTTGGTATGTGCATTTTTCTACAGGCCAATACAAAACACCAGTTTTTTTGTTGTTGTTTTTTTTACTGCAGTGAAGTAGAAATTCAGCCACATACCACCTTAGGGAATAAAGGTTACCAAAGTTTTTTCTTTATATATCACTGTAAGATTTAAATTTCTTAATGCACTAGTTTGTAGAAACTACAAACTACTTTGCCGCAAACCACAAAACACGCAAAACCATCATTTAAATAGGGCGTCTCCAACAGTTTTGCACCTGCCACCAGTTACGCAATCGCTCTTGTTAAATCACCCGCAAACCATGGTTCAGCCCCTCGCGCAAAATTCCAGTTTGCGAGCGCAAATTACTGCACGCAAAATTGGATCTTGATAAATCCGGCCCAGAAAGGATAGCACTACCAGATTAGCCTGGGTGCCATTCCGAGCTTAGTCCCGCCCACAAAGTTTGAGGTCGGGAAGTTCGGTCTGGCTCTGCTCCATAGTAGCGCGAGTATTATCGCCCACTGTCAGGCGATCCAATCAAATTGTCAGGGCGGGCTTTATACGATGATGGACAGATGATCAACAGTAACGTAATCAACCACGTGACCAATGCGCGCTTGGGTGACAACAATAATGCCTGCCGCTGGAGAGTTTAGGTGAGTAGATTCTGCTATTAGGTCTGTTCTAGAAGATATCGACAGCAAATTAATTTTAAAAGAGGAACAGAGAAACGCGATCAAGTCTCATCTTCTTATTATAGGCGTGAAACTGCACGCTTTGATTTTTGTGGACAACAACTATGCATCGCTTAACATACGTCACGCACTCCGTTGCTCTTATTGGTTGTAGGTCTATCCAATTGAGTGCAGAGGCATTTTTTTTCCTGGTTCGTTCGAAACACGCCCCATAATCACAGCTCTATGGAGCAGTATCAGACTCATATTCTGCCTAGAATTGAGTCGGACTACGTCAGGCTACTACCAGATATGCACCGGCATATATGTTTCCCATTAGGTGTCACCGCTGGAAATCTACAAGGTACAGTAACAGTGACGCCTTGTAACTGGTTCCTTAAGTATTTCCCCCACAAATAAATTAACCATTTGTTTACCCGTTGTCCTTCTTATTTTGTTTTGAATTAAATGAAGCCTGACATATTTTAGCAAGATGCGAATGAAAGGGTGAAATACCGGTATGTACTTGCATGCGTGCTGCAATTTTTTTCCCCACTCGATCTAATCTAGTTTTATGAGGAAATGCAGTTTAAAGACACACAGCCAAGCTCACATGGGGCTTTGATGATGATCCAGGTTCATAAAATAATGATATAATTAAGTCTCTAATTTTCATTATAAAAAGTACAAGCCTCTCCCATGGAGAAAGGTGATCTTTTCTTGAGTTGTGATATCTTTTCTTGAAATTAGAATCAGATAGACCAGAATTGGACGGACCAGAATCAGGTGGACCATTCTGACCAGATCCAGACATAACCTGGAGTGTGTTGCATTTTGTTACTCCATTAAGTTCAACCATCTTATCTATTTTTTGTAGAAAGTTTCTAACTTGCTGTCTGTTTGTTGGTTGCTTGTTGTCAAACACACAGTATCTGTTACCACACAGATTGATAAGTTTTGTTATTTCTTTGCTGTCCTTTAACTTCTCCTCAATGGGCTCACCTTTCAGACCATCTCCATAAGTAAAAAGCACCATAGTGGACTTCAAAGCATCAGTGCCAAACAAAATTGGAAGACATTGAAACATGACCCTATGTGCTTCACAAACTCTATCAATCTTCACCACGATGACAAAAGCATGAATCTCTTCTTCATTTAATGCATTTACTATGGCAGTGGCTATTTGCTCAGGAGACTGTTTAAGATCACTCAAACCTGGAGTGTCTATCAGTGTTATTTCTTGACTACCTATTCTGGCAGACTTGGTGAGACACGTTTTTGTGCAAGAATTAAACCCACAATCTGACTCGAACACTTGCGACCCCAGAATAGTGTTTCCTGATGAACTCTTCCCAGCTCCCTGCAGCCCAAACAGCACAATATTTCTCTTCTCCAGGATTTCAGGTACTGAAGATGGTATCACTGGAAAGACAAAAAAAAACTGATTGTTGAAAATGAATGTTTCAGAGAGACAGGTCTGACTGACTCACATTATCAAATTAGGTTAGTATGATTTAATTAAGATAATGTAGTGATCTACTGTTTTAAGATAATTTGGAGAGCACTGTTGGCTTAATGATGAAATATTGTAATGTATGTTTAGTAATATTTCCACACCTGACTTGTCGAGCAGCTCTCTGACCTGCTCTGGTCCTCCATTTTTATTGTTGAACCCCAGGTACCTTCTCTGAAACCTTTCAACGATGCTCTGAAGAGGAGACTCAGTATCTTCATTGATAAAATCTTCCAGTGTGCCGTCTAAATTATCAATACCTGCAAAGAGCAAGAAACCTCTCTCTAGTCCATATGGCTCAATCACTCTGATAGCTGCCTCCACCGCTTTCTCTTGTTCTTCAGTGAATCGATCTACTTTAACCACAACCAGAAACAGAGATATTGAATCCATTCGCTCCTTGCAGTAGGCTGTGATATTCGTTTCTGAGTCCTCTCCTAGTATTCCTGGTGTGTCGATCACTGATATATTTCTGTCAAACACAAAATTGGTTTCTTCTTGGATGTCTGTGGTCACTGATTTGAAGGAGCGTCTTGATTCAAATGACGTTTTTCCTAAAATGGTGTTTCCTGAAGCACTTTTTCCAACTCCAGTATGTCCCAGAAGAACAATGGAAGACTGAGCCATGGCTGAAAACCCTCTAGAGGAGAGAGAGAAGACTTTGGAAAGAAGTTACAGCTGGGAACATGGATAAGGGAAACTAATGTACAAATATTGCGTGACAAAAATATTTAGTTTTATGATGAAAAGAAATAAGAAAATATCTAACAAGTATTTTTCTTATTCTTTCATTAACATTAGTCAAGCTGTTCTAATTAGGTTATCAATCTATCCTACTTTCAGATACTCCACATTAGCAGACTAGAGTGATGTCTTTTAGCGAGGCTGCTTCTTGAAACAGACTCAATGTGGGAGTTTAAATTTCTTAATTTTTTGAATGTGTTTAAACATGTACTTTAAATGTGTCTATTGTTGGACAAGCAGCTTAGGTCAATAAAATTCCTAATTTTCACTTCTAACATAAATATCCCTTTTATTGTAAGTTGGTACAAAGTTGTCTGCTGTTTAGTTTCAAACATTTTTGCTGACATTACCATACATTTGGTGTTTATAAATGATGACAATTAACTTTTTAATGGTTTTATGTAAACAGTGCTAGACTCTCTCTCTCACACATTAAAACAACCCAGCTTTAAACACAAAGCAATATATAAACTACACAAGTGATGCCCATAAAACAAAAATTAAAATAGAAAAAGTTACACAATATAAAATGCAGGTAAAATTAAATAAAATACATATAAGCAGCCAGGCAATGAATATTTAACATTTCACCTGCAGTCAAAAGCCAAGTCAAAGAGACAAGTTTTAAAAAGTGTCTTAAAACATAAAGATATGTAACCTGTCTCATGGCAGGTTAAAGGTGAGGGAGAGAGAGAATAGATGGATTTAAAAACAAATAAAGTGAAACGTAAAACAAACAATAGGGCATGGGGAGATGAGAACTTCCAAAGTACAACTGACTAAATTAAAAAAATATTTCATGACTCCCATGATTATCAAATTTTAGGTTCTTTATTGACGTTAACTCTTAGTACTGTAATCTCTGACTTTGTGAAATGTGAGGATTATTCTGCAGCAGCAGCTGAAATATAGACAGTTTTATTCTGACACCATGAGGAAATGTTTGGTAAAATGGCTGCTGGTGGCCATTAAATAACACATCTATATCCGCCCCACTTCAGTTTGTCCTCTACTTGATTTTCTTTCAAAAAAGTTTAAGAAATACATAATAGCTACAGCTTTACTTGCACTCACTCAAAATTGTATATTACATTATATTCCTACCAAAATATGCAATTATAAATTATGTTCCAAAACTTTTTAAAACATTAACATTCAGAACTTAACATGGTCTGCATTGTGTAACACAATGTTGATAGAAAGATTAATTAACAATCGATAAAAACAGTAGAAAATCAGAATAAACTGACCTGATTTAGAAGACGCATCTAGTTTAGCCCCTTCGACGTGATAGCATGTCAAACCTGGGAGTTATGAAGGATACGTATGGCAGGTCAATTTACCATAAAATCAGCCTCTTCTGACTATCCGTAATTACTTCTAACATATCAAAGAAACAATTTTGGCTAGGAAAAATACAGTCCTGAAGGAAACGTTAAGATATCTGAATGTATAATTTGACTAGTGAAAACAACAATTCAAGATATCTTCAATCACATTTTGGAGAATCAAAATGCCTTTTGAGATACCTCAAATGACGTCACCCGATTCTTCATTTAAAAAGTCACACATCCCTTTTGTACGTAAGCGTATTGCATTCACCAAAGAAAAAAAATCAGACAGCTTATCTCATAATTATGAGATCAGTATCTCGTAATTATCAGATATTACCTCGTAATTACGAGATCTTTTCTCATAATTACGAGATATTATCTCATAATTACGAGCTCTTATTTCCTAATTATGAGATCGTATCTATATATTTGGTTATGCTTACTTGAGCCTGTAATGTAGAAACTCTCACAAAACTGGTCTTCATGATTATCTATTAAGAATATCTGCATCTGTTCCACTGAACAGTTCTCTGCAGGTCTAACATGACATGCATTGGAATTCCACTCCTGTTTTTCACTTCATCAATAAATCCATCTATAACCTTTGGGTTACTACTTGTGGAGTAAGCATGCAGCGATATGACCATGCACGAAAATCCATCAACAGCTCTATTAATAGAGATTCTGTTTGGTTTTAGCTTTTCATATGAATCGACATGCTGCATGAAGTTGGGACCTGGTTGTTTTAAACGATTCTGAAGCTGTCATGATCTTGGCGCTGATGGTTTGGTTTTTCCCTTTCCTCCTTGCTCCCCTGTCTAATTGGTCCTGCAGCTGATTAACCCCGATCATTTCCACCTGGTTATCCAGCTATTTATGTTGCGTGCTTGCCTTCCGTCAGCGCTAGGTTATTTAAGCAGTTTGGTAAGATTAACTAGCATTCTGTATCTTTAACTGCCTGTAACTTTCCCACTGCCTGTCTCGCCTCGAATTATGGATCCAACATTCTGAGGTCATTACAGAAGCCTCATCTCCTTGCGGATTTAGGATTTTGAGAAGGTATCAATGGACAGATCTATGTGACACCACCAAGCCAGCTTAAATGCCTTTCAGACGCATTAATTTACAACCATAAAGTAGCCCGTGCTGGTTTAATTGCTCCTGCAGTCAGAGTGGGCCTCTTCGCCTAAAAAAATTCTAAGGACTTACTTTATAATGCTGATAAATTAACATTAATTCAGTCCACATTAAGGAAACTCAGTATTTCCCAGTGTTGCAGACCTAAAAAGAAATAAAAGCAGATTAAATCTAACAATCCACTCAATGTTCACGTTTCATGTAGAGGAGATCAGCAATGACTGTCCTTCCAGATTGAGAACAAACAAAAGCACAACCCACACAAACTGGATTCCTAACACAGATCTCCTAAATATAACACATTACCTCATAATTAGGACATCTTATCACGTAATTATGAGATAAGATCTCATAATATTGAGATCAGGATCTCATAAATATGAGATAAAGATCTCGTAATTATGAGAAAAGATCTCGTATTTATGAGATAATATCTCATAATCATGAGAAAAGATCTTGTAATTATGAGATAATATCTCATAATTATGAGATACTGATCTCGTAATTATGAGATAATCTGTCAGAATTTTTTCTTCTTAGGTGAATGCAATACGCTTCCGTACCTTTTGATATCTTAATCACAAGATAAGAATTATGGAATGTCTGGAGAACAAGAACTTTGAAGACTGCTTCAGAAAATGAAGATAGTGAATGTAATCTGAAGCTGGATATTGGATATTGAAGCTCGACATAGCCTGCGCCACCTACATCTCAGTCTATTTGGCTATGGCTAAGGAGCTCAGACTTCGGCCAGCCCCCCTCTATTGCTACCTCTTCTAAGGCGCAGTGGTTCACTTAGGGACCGTCAACACTTTTTCAAAACAAACACTTTCAAGAAATAAAAATAAATACATTTGTTGTCTTATGACCAACTCAAACAAAACCAAGGTAAATTCTGCTAATAGATTATATAAATGAGACACACCAATCTTTATTCAATTTTGACTCTATTGTCAAAATGTAGATTTTTATTTCAATAGCTTCTGGGTCATGTGAACCACTGACTCAAAATCTGCTTAAATGTACATGAAACAGATGACGCACAGCCTTGGTGTTATTGAAAAAAGCACACATGAAGTCAAGTTCATTTTCTATATAGCAATATTGCAATACAGTACATTTTCTTCTCCTTTCACAAAGTTCCTAATATATAATGTATATGATAAATAAATATATATATATATATATATGTATATATATATATATTTATATATATATATATATATATGTATATATATATATATGTATATATACATATGTATATATACATATATATATATACATATATATATATACATATATATATATATATATATATGTATATATATATATATATATATATATATATATATATATATATATATATATATACCATCAGAAATATCTGAAATTTGTATTTTGGCTAGTCCAAATATAAATACAGACACATTAATTAACAACCATGTCAACTCAAAAAACGATTTAAGATGTCTGGCGTGATAAGTGTGGCAAAGCCAATGTTATGATAATACAGCTTGCCATAACTAAACCAACAAAAGCGAAACCAATACATCAAACAAACTCTTTTAAGTTAAAAGCAAAGATATGTCTTTGGTTTTCCCTTATATCCTGTGGTAATTAGCGATAACTTCACGTTTTTAAGAGTTTTTCCTGCCTGGACTTAATTCATTTTTTTTCTGTATTTTTATGCTTTATTTTTAAGAAAGGGAAATGATTTTGTCAGCAGCCTCGCCTATCTCGGAAGAGTTAAATTGACAGCTTCAGATTTGAAAATTGTTTCCCCGGGTTCCGGGGTACTTGAACGCAACAGAAGCTCGCCTGATCAACAAGGAAAAGGCAAGAAATAAAAGTATGTAAAAGGGGAATGACGATGCATATGTTCAGATGATGTGCTTAGGAAGGTATAAGGTTTATTTGCGGACACAAAATATGGTAATCGATTTGGAAACTATCGCTGATCCGTTTACATGTTGAGCATGCGGTTCGTGTCTATGGGGTTAGAACTGAGACCCATTTCCGTAGAATTGAACTTCCTACCGAATGGGCGCACCAGTTAATCGAGGACACTGATCTTTATTCACTGGATTGCCCGAAAAAAGTGAATCCACCGGCCAGCATGTTGGTACTCCCCACTCCCACGGAGATGCGCAGTTGCCTACTTGTAAAGCATTTGACAGCAGTTACTAGCTGTGGCAGTATATTTCACTGGTTAATTTCACAGTCAGTGGATTAATTAATTAAGAAAATCCATATATACGCAGATTAATCCTAGCGTGTAGTATAGTATTTTATAGTATATTATAGTTTGCTATTTTATAGGATAGTATAGTATGTCTAACGTTAGAAAATACAAAGTAGAGTAAATAGAAAGTAATTCACTGTGAAATGTCATTAAGTGTATGATGCTGTCGTTTTTTGTAGTGTTTGTTGTATTTCTCATTTGAAAAAGTTGTGTTCTGAAATATATTGCATGTTATATAGAAAACAAGCAACATTTTTAAAGGCTAATGCACAGAAGCAGCATCAAAGTGTATGCCATCATTCATGCATTATAGGAAAATACTATAGCATTAACAGATGTGTACTTGTAATTCAGTCTTGATGTAAAATCTTGACATTTTATGTAACATGTATTACCAAAACCATGTAATCAATACAGGTATGTTACAATTACAATTTAGCACTTTTGGCACACCTGTATTACTATGCTCCATTGAATTTGTCTTTATTTTAAAAGTCTGAAGTCCGAGTGAAAACGAGAACATCGCAGTTGTTCTATGCTGTATTGCACATATCGTTTAAATTGCGACCAGGGGCAGAGCTATATGGGGGGCCAGGGGTGGCCATGGCCACCTTTAGCTAATCATTGGCCATCCCTGTGGTCACCCTTACCATTTATTTCCCTCTAATACAGATGGTGGCAAAAGTAATACTTTCAAGTGGAATATTCAAAAAATTTTAATTTTTCATATATCAACAATTACTTGACAACAAAAACACTGTGGTTAATTATGCACATCAATATACTAACATTAAAGATGATAAGTACAGAATTCAAGCAGAACTAGATTTTGTGTTTTATGGGGTAAAGTGAACATGTGTCTCTGCATGTCATCTGGGAGTCATCAGTGAAATCATAGATAAATAACAATTTTAATAAAAACTTATTAAGTAACCAATTTATGTAAATGTTAGTAATCTTGAATACAATGCAGAATGATTACTGATAAAAGTAGGTAAGTAATGACAATGGAAAATATGTTCCCCCAAAACTCAAACCTGAAAGAATTCTACCCACTATACCTTTTATCTACAAAGCACAGATGTTTGAATGTATTAGTCTATTTGTTAGCAAAGGCTGTGGGAAAATATAGTTTGTCTTTCTTTAGAAAATATGGATGTTTTGCTAATTAATTTTACTGTTGGAACAGTGTAGATTGACCCTGAGGTTCTGGTGCCTATCTACTTTCAGAATCAGACGTACTTTCGGCCACCCCTCAGTGTACATTGGTTATTGCCTGGCCACCCGTATAAAATGTTCTGGCTATGCCTCTGATTGCAACCGGTCTAACTACATGTAGGGAGTGCCAATATGGCGTCTAGTGGCTTTACTTCAACCCAGTACTACCAACTATCAGCAATTCAGTGAATGATTAGAGATCATTGATTGAGGATAACTAATTTAACATGATGCTTCTGTTGGCCCCTGTGGAGCGATTGCTCACACAACTTGTTCACTTGATCTAAAATGTCTAATGAAAATGTTTCTTTGAGGACTTTGTCAAACCTTTGATCATTAGTTTTATTAGTCTGATTATTTTAACCCATCCAATCTACTTTTTAAAGCAATACATCAAAACATTTCCAGTGAGGTGTTATTCTCAACCAGGAAACCAAAGCATCCAGTACAGCGATGGCGCAGACAGAGCTTGGTAAGTTTACTAATCAAATATACAAATATCTTTGTATGAGTGTTCATGATATCAGACATTCGTTAATGTGGATCTTGTGGTGTCAGATCAATCAAGGTGTTGTAACGTCACAAGTTTGCTTAATGTCATGGAGCCATATTTTATTTTGGGCCAAAAGCATCCTAAAAATCAACAATGTCTATATAAACACTTTAACATTTATCACTGTTGACTCTTTTTACAAATTTAAGTCCAAATATCTGTTTCTTTGTTTAAACAGATTTGAGAAGAAGAAGAAAAAGTGGGGACATCCGTCCAGGTAATACAGCACGTAGATTCGATTGAGTTCTATTAGTAAACTTTTCACAATAAATGTCATGTTAAGGCACTTTAAAGAGACAATTCAAACAGATCATATAATTATATGACTCATAAATAATTTTTATAATTGGTTAAAAGTTTTCTAAGGAATCCCAGCTGACTGGATTGAGTCACTAACTTTCCAGGATTCTGTCGTCCTGGATGAGCATCTGGCAACAGTAAATATTTCCCTGTATTGTGTCGTTTATTCTGCAGTAATACCTAAAACTAAGGGTGCTCCGATTGATTGGTCACCGATCGTTATCGGCCGATAAAGGCTTTATATAGTTTGATTGGCGGTTTCTATAAAGGCCGATCGGATGGGTCGATGAGACGCACTACTTGTTGAATTCACTCCTCCGATTCCTCTAGGGGCGCTGTAGTTGCTCTGCATCGGTATGCGACTGGAAGTGGGGAAGAATAAGAAAACGGACGGTCCGTTTTCTTGTGGTGAGGCAAGTTTGGAAGCGACTTGCACCAAGCCCCCAGAGAAAGTACCACGAGCTGGCTCCTTACACGCTATGTATGCTGAGTTGTTGGATAAGGACGGGGTGGCGGTGACATCAGCAGCTCAACATCATCGCAGATGAACATCTACCTATCAGAGCCAGTCATCCCACGGAGCGGACAGCCGCTTGTTTTTTGGCGAGACAATAAAAGTCGTGTCCCCGCTCTCGCACAAGCAGCCCACGCCTACCTCTGTGCTCCGTGCACAAGTGTAGATAGTGAGCGACTTTTTAGCACAGCAGGGAATATTGTAGATGAGAAGAGGAACAAGCTGTCCACCAAAAATGCAGAGATGCTTATATTTCTAAAGAAAAATCTGCCATTGATGCTTAACAAGTAGGCTTTAAGAGAAATGGCTTTACTAATCTCTATTCTTCTTCTTTCTTTCTCATTGACTGATGTTTTCCATGCTGTGCACTTTAAATGTATGTAGATTTAAAGGAGCTAAAAGAACATTTAAAGTTAGCATTTGTTTGAAATTACAAAACTTTATTACTACTGAAAAATGTCTGCAGTGATTAAAATGACATTTTAGATTTTGAGCAAGGACAAAAAGCCGGAATTACTGATATATTATCTAAAGATGTGTGACTGGTCTGTCATGGCTTCTATTTTCAGTTAATTACCGCAGGACAAGCCTAAAATACATACCTTATGCCTTTTTATCATGGCATCCCAAAACATTTGATTTTGTTTTCTTTGCTCTGCACTTTAAGTTTGTGTAAATTAACAATGACAGATTTTTTGTATCTTATTTAGAAGTAAGGCTTATTTGTTAAGCTCTAAGCTGTTCAAGATGTTTCTAAGGAAGTCAAATGTTGAACGTTTCCTGTTAATAAAAGTATACAGTTGACAATTCACAATACATTATCTTCTGTTAATTTTAATACCTATACATTTTTGTTAAGACTATTAAAATTGAACATATGACATGATAAATAGAAGGCTTCAGATAGACCCAGTGATCAGTCACCGGTGATCGGTGTCAACCAATACTGCTTTCAGCAATCGGTGATCGGCCCCAAAAATCCTGATCGGAGCACCCTTACCTAAAACCAAGCATTCATGCAGGGACAGTGGAAAGGAAAAATTCCCTTTTAACAGAAATAAAGGATGGAGGCAGGCGTGCTGCCAGGAATTTAGGGCCCCATGAAAGACTTATGCTCTGTTCGAAATCCTAAGATGCGTCCTTGGAAGGCCAGATTCGAAGGACGATTACGTCATAGCGCGGCACCGAGGTCTGGTCGGATTCCAAGAGTCCTCGTTATGCAGCCTTAAAATGCGTCCTTCTTTTTGCCCGATTTGAAGGACGGGTCCGATGTATCCTCGGTATCCTTGGATATCCCAGGATTCATTGCAAGACGAAGCAAAGCCGGCTGCTCCGTGATCAGAGGACAGGTTATTTGGCGCCGAACAATAGTGAAAATTGGAAGTTCAGTTTAATATAATACAAGTCTGTGAATAGTTCCGTCTGAAATGAATGAAAATAGCTGTTTTAATGGTTATTGAGTCATATATGTGGCGGGTAATGTTTGATTTATCTAAAAGTTTTTATCTGTTACTGTGTAAATTAGGGGTGGAACGGTTCACAAAATCCACGGTTCGGTTCGATTCACGGTTTCTGGTCACGGTTTTCGGTTCGGTTCGATACATGTTGATTGTTACATCGAAATCCCATAAACATTTATGGAATTAATGAAAAAATTCCCCAAAAAATAATGGATTGTAATTATTTTAAATGATCTGCGGAAATCCTGGATCATTTCCGTATGTTTTGCTGCTTTGAATTTAATCATCTCGCGCATGCTCTCTACCATCTCCAAGGGAGAGAGAGGGGAGCGGACGAAGCCACAGTGGGGGCTGTAGGCTTTGCTTTGAGCAGCCGGTCTGGAGCGCAGAGGGGGTTGCTGACATGTATGAGGGATTTCGGGGTTAGCATGACATGTTGGTCATGTTGCTGTTAGCGTAAACAAAACGTGTTGCACAACGTCGCACACTGTTGCACTTTTATCCACAACTTTCTTTCCGCCGTCATCGTAGGTTACTCTAAATGCAAAGCGGTCCCTGTTGGGTTTTAATCCAGAAAAATGTGAGTTTAAAAGATTAAAAGGAAATGATCAACACAGAGACAGGGTTTTGTGACGTCAGTGTCTGCAGGGTGGAGAGCAGCTGCCGGCTCAGAAAACCAGCAGCTACTCACACAGATCCCTTCATAGCAACATCAAACAGGCGGGCCTAAAACAGAAGAGCAAGTAATAGCCCCATTTACACTACCCTTGAAAAACCGATCCAGGCCGAGGCCGATCCGAGCTTGGATCGGTAACCAGGCCAAGCTCAGTTTTGACGACCGTTCACACGTCACACTTATCTCGGTTATCTCGACTCCTCGCCTCCTAGTGACGATGTGCGGTGTTACTGCTAGGATTGAAGGAGGGACTCAAGCAGCTGGTGGTGGTAATGCACCAAACGCTGTTTGTCAACCGCCGTAAAACCCAAGAAGAAGAAGACGACGGAGGAGGGAATCAAGCAAATCAAAATGGCGGCGCCCGTCACATTCAGAAAGTTATGCTTAATTATTATTGCTGTACTTCCGTGTTTGCGGTGGGTCAGGCGAAGACGGCAACCTTGCGCGGATGTACTTGAGAAAGTCGGCTTTTGGGAAGCCGACTTTCTGGAATGGAGTGTGAATCGGCATGTTCAGCCAGTCGGCGATGACGCGTTCTGCTCATGCGCTCTTGTTATCAGAGAACCGAGCCAGGAAAAAACCGAGCCGAACCCACCTCGGGAACTGGTCTGCAGTTAGCACGGTCCGGTTATGTCTATCTCGGTTCAGTTCAGGTTGTTTCCGTTCACACACGACAAGTTATCTCAGTTACTGAGCTCGGACCGGTCTCGGCTCAGTTTTTTAAGGGTAGTGTAAACGGGGTAAATGATTGTCTGGGAGGATGCAGGTAACAAGATAGTGTGAATTGACCAACTGGCTGGATGGAAGTCACACAAACGTGTGATTCTGCCTCATGACCTACAGGAGGTCATAAAAGTTTATGACCCTTCTGGTTGAAACGCAGGATAGTTATCATTCTAACATTTCCCTCCTCTTATACATAAAAACATCAGCATCTTTCAATTCATATTGTATTCATAGGAGTAGGAATATGAGTACAAACATAACAGTCTGTTTTGTTCAAATCTTCAGCAACGTGCTTGGAATGCTGCCTCCACATCTTGGCACTGTAGGATGACTTGCTGCGGATCCATCAAAAATCATCCTGCTCTTCCTTTGAAACACCCATTAACTAGGACTCTAAAGGACTGGGTTAGGTTGTTTCCTTCACCAGCGTTGAGACGAGTGGTCCTAAAAAAACCAAACCCCTTTGAAGCTGGACTTCACCACAGATCCCTCACCTTAGTTATGGGGTTCCTGTGAAGGTAATTGGGCTTCTTGCTGTGGAAAGTTTTTAATCAGTTTACAATTACTCTGGTGGATCCAAGTGTCTATCTCCTGGATTTTCACGGCAGTGGGGGTTGTTAGTTGCACTATGTAGGGTCCTTCCCACCTCGGAGCTTTCCAAGTTTTCCTTTTGATGATTTTAATCAGCACTCGGTCTCCAGGCTTCAGGCCTTCCTGTGGGGAAACAAAAGGAGCACTAGGCAGATTACATGTTTTCCGAACAGTTTTGTCGCTGAAAAGCTTCAGCATCCACTTAGTTAGCGGGTCAATGTCATCTTGTTATTTTTTTGCCCATGGCTTTCCTGTTTCTGCCATGAATTTTCTCAATCTATTTTGAACATCCTCTGACCATTTAACTGGGTTCTGTCTGGCTGGAGTTAAACCTTGACAGGCAATCTGCATCTCTGCATCTGTCCATGGCCCACACACAAGAACAGTGGGTCCACGATCCAGTGGGTCACCATCTTGGGATCCCGTGCGTTGACCACAATGAGGGTTGGCCACCTCCAACACCGGAAAAGCACATGCCCCCCCCCCAGGATCTTGGTCCTGTTCTTGTTTTTTTAATTCAGCCAATCTTGGATAAAAAGGGGCAGATGGGCCCCTTCCACAAGCCTCCACTTGATAATCATCCCTGTAACACTTCGAATCAAGCTTCACATCCCCCCCTGATCCTCCCAACTCATGCCCACAAGGGTCAGGGGCACTGGGTTCCGTACCATTCACAGAGGACGACACGGACAGGGGGCCTGCTCCTGCTCCTCCAATATCACCACAAGATGGTGGGGCCACTGGAGGAGGAACAGTGGCATGGCTGTGTTCATATTCACCGTGATGGGGGTTATCTACACCTTCCTGCACAGCTGATGCCACTGCTTGAACCCCATCACCCCCTTGAATTTGATTAGGGTCAGGATATTGAGGAAGCATACGGGATACAACAGTTTCTTCATCAGCTTTAACTTTTACAGCAGCAATTGTAGCTGTCTTTCTATCCTTCT